TTTTATAGCCTTATATGTCAAAACTTGTATCCTTGATTCCATATATATAATGTGTACATAAGTACACCTTTTGTTATGTATTTGACATGTATAAGAAGTGGCCAGAGGCCAATGACATATATCTTGTATCCTATGTAACTTTTAACTTCATGAAATATTATGAAAATATTGAAAAATCACAAGTCATTGTCTCACCATGGTTGCATCGGGTGTGGGAATTCCATTTTTATTCTTTCATAGAGTCTCATTAATCTTGTATGAAGTGTGACCAAGGGCTAAATGGTAATTTGACTCCATTTCATATTTTTAGATTTTAAAATTTTGATTTTAAGTTCATTTTTATCATTTTTTTACGTTTGGGGGGGGGGGGGGGTCGGATTTTAAGTCAGGGCTTCTCGGGAGCTGCGTACCATTCCCGCGTGCTTAGAATCATTTATTACACTTGCGTGCACATTCGTTTCAACCTATAAATGCATTTAGGGTCAAATGCATAATTAGTGCAAAGTTGTATTTTTTTTAGTTTTAAGCCTTAACTGATCTAGGGGCATTTTGGCCATTTTACAATGTGTGTTTTTCATTTTATCTCATGTTGCCAGATAGAAAATTTAATTTTGGGAGGGCTTTCTTCTTCGTATTTTTCCAGAAAAATTCGTTTGATAGCCCGTTTTTGATCTTAGATGTGGACAGTTACTGTAGCATCTTTTTGGACCCTCTTGACCTCTTCTGATCTAGGGGCATTTTGGAGATTTTACAGCGTGTTTTTTTCATTTTCTTCTGCATAGTCGGGTAGAAAACTCAATTTTAGGGGGGGTTTCTTCTTCGTGTTTTTCCAGAAAAATTCATTTCGGACCTCGTTTCGGCTCTCAGTTCTGGGCTGAATCCCTTTTTTTTTTCTTTGTTTTTTTTCCTAGCATGTCATGGTGCTTGTCAGGATTCTCGTGGGATGCTCGTGGGGTGCTCGTGGTGCCCCATCTCAACGTCACGACGTTGATTTTTATTTTCACTCGTTCTCCTTCATCCGGACTCCAAATCGAGTGAACTTTTTTTTGAACTTGACTGATTTTTTGTTGTCTTTCCAACGGTGTGCTCGGTTGCACCCGGATCTTCCTGAATAATTACCAGTTTTGAACTTGACTAATTTTTCGCTATCTTTCCAACGGTGTGCTCGGTTGCACCCAGATCTTCCTGAATAATTACCAGTTTACCCTTTTAGCCTTAAGTGCTCGTTTTTCTTCGTCATGCCGTTTCTCCTTCGTCTGGACTCTGGATCATGCGATTCTTGAGTCCATCTTGATTAGTTTTTCATTCTCTTTCCAGCGGTGTGCTCGGTGACACCCAAATCCTTATTTTCATAAATGACTATTTTGCCCTTAGGGCTATTTTTGTCCGATTTTGCTTGTTTTCCACTTCTGCTAATTTCTTTTGAGTCTCGTGACTTCATGGGAAGTCACGAATGTGTCCCGGGAATGATTTACATTCTAGGGACGTCATTTTCATATAAAATGACTATTTTGCCCCTGGGGGTTTAATTGTTATTTTTCTGATCTTTTGCTTCCGCGTCAGTTCTCATTGAATTCCATGACCTCATGGAAGGTCATCAAAGTGTCTTAGAGGTGTGTTGTGCCTTGGGAGACTATTGTCTTCTTTCTTGCTTCCGCATCTGGATCCACTATCGGATTTACATTCGGTTCATCACAGGACGCGCTGGCCTAAAAACTAGGGCCGTCACAGATAGAAGCGATTGGGGAGGCTGAAATGATTTGCCCTAAAAATATTATATATATATATATATATAATATATATATATTGATGAGAGCTGAAAAGTGTACTTTTAAACCCCTTAAGCTTGAGTGTTCTATGTCCTTTATCTATCTTATTTTTCCGTTTTAGTACTTATTTGTGTTTTTGTCTATTTCAGGTCAATAATGTCAAAATGGGCTAAAAATATTTTCTTAAGGCCTTTTTGGAGTCAAATTAAGTCTTAGTGAGGATCCGGAGCAAAAGGAAGCTGATTTGGAGCAAAAGGAGGCTAATGCTGAAAAACTGCCAAGTTGGATCGATCCAACTTTTTCTGAGATCTATCGCTTTTTCTAAGATCGATCGAAGTTGTATCGATCGAAAATAAAATTTGGATCGATCGAACTTTTCTCTGATCGATCGAAGAAAAAGTCTGATCGATTGAACTTTTGCTGGCAGCGAGCTGTCTTACTCTCGTGCGTGCCCGAACTCCCACCTATCACATAGTACGAGATTAGATATTTTTGGGGCTATATTTCTGGCTTAGTGGCTAAAAAAATAACCTTCTATATAAAGGGAAGTGACTCATTTTGTAAAGGAGCTTTTTATCATTATATTTCTACTTTGTAATTTTACTTTATCTCTCTAGAAAGTTAGAAATTAGGGTTAGAAGAAAAGGGGGAAGTGGAGGCTCATCTCAAGAACCCATCTCTAGATCCACTCTCTCTCTCTCTCTAGAGCTTCAAAGAAGAAGAAGAAGAAGATGGAGCCATGTTTGGAACTTGCCCTTGAGGGTTTCATGACTACATCTACCTCCTCCATGATTGGCTAGATTTATACTTAAGGCTTGGATAAGCCCTAAGTCTTATGTAATCTAAACCTTTGTATTTCTATTTTTGGGGATTTATATATATTGTTGTGATTAGTGTTCTAGCCTTGTGAATTTAATGAATCTTGGTATATTTCTATTATTTCTATGGTTTAATTCTTCCTATTAATTCTCTAGTTTATTTACATGTCTATGTGTGATTAAATTGGGAATTATTTCTTACATGATTCATATGGATTAATTCTTTCTATTGATTCTCTTTGTGATTACATGTTGTCTTATGTGTGATTATGTGGGAAGTGATCTCTACACTAGTTTTTCTATATTAATTGCATGTCTATGTGTGGTTGATTGAGAATCTAGTGATGGCTAGACATGGGTTTTCATTGAATGGATTTGTCAATTAATTTGATGGATTATTCTTACACTTGATGGGTTATTCTACAATTTAATTCATACTTGTAGGTAGGTAGACAATCTATACTTGATTTGATATTCCATAGTTTATTATTGCAAATTTCATGATTCTTTAGATTGATGTGTGCTACAATTGTGACTAGTTTGACGGGTCATGCTTAAATTTATTGGGTTGTTCTGCACTTAGTTTATTTGTTGGTTAGGTAGACAATTCATACATGAATTTGATGGTCCATGCTTAATATTGCAATTGGTAGTCGCATTTTATTCACAACAATGTATTCCCCATTAATGGAAAGTAAGTGGTTAATTACATGAGCTTAGTGGTGATTCCAACACCCTAAGTCCTCTCTTCATATCTCTTAAATCCCTAACTCAACTTAGTTTATTTTAATTACATTTTAATTTCCTTGCATCTTAGTTTAATCAACCAATCTCTCTCTTTTGCAATCAATTGATAGGCTAGAGTCAAAGTTAAATTCCAACACGTATAATCCCTTGGGACAATCCCTACTCACTCTTGCTACGTTAGTAGTAGTGTTGGTAGTGGTTTTTATAAATTTAAATTTGACCTAAAAGATTTTTCTTGAACCGCACATTCACTACATTATTTTGACGTATACAAGTGGCCTCGTCATATATATATATAAAATTTTGAAAAAAGCTCAACTTGTCAACCCGACCCGACCCACCCGAAAATATTCAGTTCGAGTTATGACCATAACTCATGTTGGATACAATTCGGGCTAGCCCTATCCAACCCGATTTTGGGTTGAGGTTGGGTTGGGCCAGCCCAACTTACTGCCCTAGGTGATACCGATGACATGGTATTATAGTGATAAGACTCACCGATTCTTGAAAGAGATGTATTTTTACTTGTATGACAAGATATAATTAGTTGGTAATATAGGTGACATGATATCATGGCGCTATTCTAAAAACTTATAAAACAATATTTGCTATATTTGGCGACACCGAATCAGCGCCTTGGATGGAGAAAATTTAGTAAAATTTTGAACTAAATTTCTTCCGATCTCAAATCCAAAGCACTGATTCAATACTTTAAACATAACATATATAAGCCTTTTTTAAGCTCCTTATGTACATTAATTTTATCAAAACCTTTGAATTATATGTGCTTTTTATACGGTCTATCAATGTATTATACAAAACCAAATAAGAAAATAAGATCAAAATATTTTGAAGCATTAACAGTGAATGAAAAAAAAAAAAAAAAATTAATAAGGCCCCGGAGATGGCAACTCTCTCTTCTGTCTTCCTAGCACAACAAAAGAAAATAAGTTTTTTTTTTCCCCCTCTTTTTCCTTTTCAATAATTAGCAAACAACAGGAGAGTAGAAATAATAATAATAATAATAATAAATAAATAACCTTTTAAAAAGAGAATTACATGGCTGATGGGTCCCACACTTTTCAGTTAAAAATCATCAAGAAATTACTTTTCTTCTTCAGCAATAAAATAGTATAAAAGTTCCTCAGAGATTAGATTACTAATTACTCAAATCAATAAAAAAAAAACAATAATAATGATAATAATAATAATAATAATTGTTTTGTATTAAGTTGTAACCATTGTAGCATGAACACGGATATGTTGACGCGTTAAATTTCAAAAAAGTAGGACACCAGTGCGATTTGGATACGATTATTTAAATATAAATTTTTAATTCTTTTAAATATGTATTGAGCAATAATAGTATTATAAAACTTAAATTTATTTTTAATTTTTATACTAAAAGTTGTAATCACTTTTATATCATATATACACAGTTATTCTATTACTTTGTCATAATAATATTTTTGTTTTAAATGAATAAACGTCATATCATGATTCGCTTGTGATCATATATGTATAATGTCAAATTTTCCTAAAGAAAAAAGTTGAACACTTTAGAATATGTTCAAGATTTTCAGGTTGGCTTGTGTTAGAAATGTTTGAAAGTGTCGGTCTAAGCTACTAAAAAGTGTTGGTGAAATGTCATAAAATGTTAGGAAAGTGTCCAAAATAATAAAAATTTATTTTTATTTACGGATAGTTGTGTCAGACACGTGTCCAATGAGTATAGGTATCCAACACGGATATGACACGGGTACGACTCCTTTGTAGAAGTATCCGTACTTCATAGGGTCACATATTGCATAATTTGTTAACATGTCATGTGTACATGATCTAGCCACACAATGCATAATTTCTAACATGTCACACATACATGATTTATTCAAGAGAGATTATTCTCAAATATCATAACAGCAACACGTTTCTTATTAGATAATGTATTCGCCTTCTTCTTCTCTCTCCAGACTACAGTAGCCTTTTGATCTTCTGAATGAAACTCAACATGATCTCCAGTCCTTTCTCATCTGAAAAATGCTTGTGTAATTAGTTGCATATAACAAATATGTAAAATGTAATGTACTGTCTGAATTTACAGCTCTATATAAAATGAAAAATGGCATTTGATGTATTACCTAATTTAGGGACCCCATGTCCCTCATGGTGATATATCACAAAAGGGTCCAAATATGATTTCAAGAGTTCAATCCCATTTTGCTTTGCAAAGTCCTTTTCACCTGCAAAAGTAGTCCCCTCTTTTATCCTCTTAGAAAAGGGCAATTAAAAAAATGCAAGAAGAGAAAGGGCACTACTTTTTCTTTCCTTTTCTCTTCTTGCATTTTTTTAATTGCCCTTTTCTAAGAGGATAAAAGAGGGGACTACTTTTGCATACATATATATATTTATAATACTAAGTATACATCACAGTAAGAAGTACCTATGAAGTGGAGTGATGGGCATTCAATAGTAGAGGAAAAGGCATTTTCAGTGACCTTTGGGGCAGAAAACTCTTTACCTCCAAGTTGACCCCCTGATACTATGATGACAAATTTTATTTTAGGAATTCTGGTTAGAGCCACTACCTGGTTCCAAATGACAATTATTCAGTTCCATTTCAATCTATATAAGTTCAAATTAAATGCCTGATAAGTGATTATTAACTAATTGGTTTTACTGGGGAACTAAAATAATTTCATATTTTTATTTTCTTCTTTTCCTGTTTAATAAATTTGAATCCTTAGAAATTATATTATCAAGGAAAAAAAAAAAAAAAAAAAATGTTGGACTATACATGTTTCTGCATCCCCGGTAGTGCAGCCGCTAGTAATGCTCCCTTTTCACAAAAATCACAAAACAGACATCAGAAAATGAAATATTCAGACAATATAGGAACACTTAATTTACTCACATGAATGCATCAATATGCATGCATGTTTGCTTATGTGGTGCAAGGTTTGAATCAAATCACAATTATCTTGAGCTTCAAAAGGTTAAAAACCTCAAACTATTATTTTCAAACTCACATAATCTAAAAGGGAATATATATATATATATATATATATATATATATATATATATATATTATTTATAAAGATATATATACACAATACACACATCAAATGTGCCAAAAATTGATACAGATGTATAAAAATTTGTTACCTGAGATAAGCCTAGCAACCCATCAAATGGTCCAAGCCTGACCATACAATCTTCAATGTATGCAACACATTCATCAAAATTCCTGTACTCAGAATGATCCTACAAATGACACAAAATTGATCAGATGAATGAGGGAATGAAATCAAATTTGAAAATCCATAGATATGACAACGAGACAATCTGACCTCATTGGACTCGAACCATTCATAATAAGGAGGAAACTTCCCCTCACCACTGGGCTCTCCTTCTGCGGGAAAAGGTGCATCTAAAAAGACCAAATCCATCATATTAAGCACAAATTCTGGCCATATTTCTAGCTCTTTTTTCAGGATTGCACTGCTCGATCTAAAACCATGAAGGCAGAGAATTCTGGGCTTTTTCACAAGTTGGTAATCCATCTTCCTCCCAATTATTCCTTCATCTTGGCTCTGAGGATGATTTATATTATTTGGTCCCAACTGTAGAGGCAGGCTAGTAGTAGATCAAACATTAATATAGAAAGGTATAACATGGCTCATTAATTTGGATGTCAGATTATTTCTATTTGAAATGTGAATAATAAAATTCCACGATGACCATTTTGATCATGAATTAGGATCAAACAAATAATAATCGACACACAGCTAGTTACCATGCTGCTTAGATGACCTGATATAATTAGGTTGCTATCATGGTACTTAGAACATAGTTAGGCAGAGTTGTTTTGTTGTGAACTGTGACTGTGAGAGTCGTTGTGACCTGGAGGTCACGAGTTTAAAACAAAAAAATAACCTCTTTGCGCGAGAATATCGTGTACTGGACTGACCCTTCTACTTTTTGTTCATGGATCCTGTAAGGCTCTCGATAAGAACCTCCCATGTGGTTAGAAGTGACCATTGGTCCATTGCATTGATTGGTTGAATAAATTACGCCTCAAGCCATTAATGGGAGTACCTCTCCAGCTAGATGTATTGATAGTGAATTTGTCTTCTCCCTATAAAAATCAAGTAATAATCTCTCTTATTTTATTGAATTTTTAAGATTCAGTACATTAAGTCTTTTTTTTTTTTTGGTTTGATTTATGTTCAGTAGAAATCGTGAAGTACTTTTGGAGCTATCATAGTAAGAAGAACAATAACAGAATGGGCTTATAGACATCCTTGCACATTTATTTGCATATTGCATCTATGTAAATAAGATTTCATATACTTGAGATAAAATCAGAACAATATATGATTTGAAATTCTTCTCATAAAGTTTTTACATACATGTAAGACACCATTCCTCATGTATGTTACCACATTTGTGCTAAAAAGGTGAGGAGGACTTCTTGAAGGAAAGGGGGATTGCACAAATAATACATTCAATCAGATCTCCTATTCTTCATGTTATGGCATTTTCTGAACCATGTCAATGAAGCTGAGCATTGTCTGGAGGCCTTCCCCATCTGTCAAAATGTGAGTAAAATAATAAAATTGGACACACTTGCATGCATATGGAAATAAATATACACATGGATAGTTATATATGTATATGTTTGTATGACAAAAAGATTTAGTAATACTAACCAAGTCTTGGTATTATATGCCCCTTGGAATGATGAATCACAGTGGGGTTCTCAAATGATTCCAATAATGCAATCCCCCTTTCCTTCAAGAAGTCCTTCTCACCTTTTTAGCACAAATGTGATAACTTACATGAGGAATGGTGTCTTACATGTATGTAAAAACTTTATGAGAATAATTTTGTCTTCAAATAAATAAATAAAATTTCCTACAAATTTCATATTTCCTATTTAGGACTTGTTACAATAGATAACCCTACCGCTACACCAAGACTCACTCTCGTATTTATGAGAAGTGTTGGTTTTAATTCTCAAAGCATACGATGGATATAAAGAGACACCTCTCCGATTAAGTACATACAATATTGAGGATTTCACTGCTTAAATGTGCAATCAAAGAAAAACTGTAGAAAAGGAAAGGAAAACTGTTCTCTTTTCAGATTTAAGTAAAATACCTAATTTCCAAGCACACATTTAAAATAAAAAAATAAATAAAATAAAAAAATTCTTTGGAAAGTGGGTGTACTAAAAACTGTTTTCAAAAAATATAACTAAACATGGCCGTCAGTTTTCTTGTAAAAAAAATATAGCATTGTTAATTACAAGCAATGTGTTATCATAACTCATAATCTAGATCACCAAAAGAAGTCGGTGGTGGACAAAGATCCTCTCCAGCGCAGGAGAGGTATAGCACAAAATTCAATGGTTGAGACTGAATTGATAAAATGGGACCCACTAGTGAAGATGCAATCTCAACCACTAAATTCTGTACTGGTTGCGCTGAAAAGAATCCTTGTCCCCCCGGGGTACGTACCTATAATGTGGAGGGAGGGACATTTGACTGGAGAAGAAAATGCATTATTAGCGGCCGGCTTGGGTGACCCAAACTTAAGTCCTCCAAATTTACCCCCTGATATTATTAGTACAAACTTTATCTTTGGAACCTTTGTGAGAGCCACTCCCTTGGATTGCATTCCCGGTAAGGATGCTGTAAAAAAAGGCTCCCTATAATTCAGGCAATGGTTTAAAAATTCATAAAAGACATTTCAGAAACACCAATCAGAAGAAATAATAATAGTAAGTGTCACATAAAGTGAATATAAAATTCTAAATTCAACCCACCTGGGAAAAGCCCAGTACACCATCAAAAGGTCCATGCTTTATCATACAATCTTCTAGGTATGCTAGACATTCTTCAAAATTGTAGTACTCTGTAAAATCATGTGAAAACAATAGAATTCACATGTATTCATTGAAAACAATAGGACCATGTCATATTACACTATTAGTTTGTGCCTACATGGCTACATGTGTGTGTGTTTGAAATTGGATTAGAGGGGGGAAATGAAGGTCTAACCTGGTTACTTTGGTACCATTCATATTAGGGAGGATCATAGATGCCTTCTACATCGGATTTCCCTCTGGCTGGACAAGGGCCGTCGACAAAAACGAGGTCTAGTTTTCCAAGGATTGTCTCCGGCCATCGGCCGACCTGTTTCTGGAGGATGGCAGCACTTGTCCTTAAGCTGTGGAGGCAGAGAACTCTGGGTTTCTTTTGGATTTCATTTTCTATCTCAAAGTTTTTGGTTCCCACTTCACTGGATTGGTGATGATGTTGGGAAATTGAATTTAAGTACAAGAACTGCAAATGGACCTGCAACTTTTTACCGGTCAGTAGTAAAGACTTGCATATTTCCTTCAGGATTTGTTTGGATTAATGGAATTGGAAGGAAAATAAAAGAATCTATCCTTCCATGGAGAGGATAACTTAAGTGATACTTTCACAATATCCAAAATAAATTTAACATTTAAAAAAATTAAAAATTAAAAATAAAAAAACATTTGGATCCTATCTTAATATTAGGCGTAAAAGTAAATTGGTTAAAATAGTTTCTTTTCTCTACTTTTATCTTTTTCAAAAAATAATGTTATCATTTTTTTTCTTTTCCTTCCTAATTTATCCACACACATATTATTGCTATCTGTTCTTTTCTCTTTTAACTAAGTTTAACCTTTTGTTTTTTTTTTTTTTTTTTTTTTTTTTTTTTTTTTTTTTTTTTTTTTTTTTTATCTCGCCCTTCATATGAATAGATTGACAAACTAAACAATATCTTGATCTGAGTTTTGGACGAAGACTTGTCACGATGGGACCATTTAATATTGAATCTAGTGCTTCTGTGATGAATTCTAGAAGTAGGGTTGGAAGAAGAGCCCTGAGAAATTCTATGCCAGAGGGATTTTTTCCCGTCAGATGAATTTAGACAATTAATTAACAAAGGTTAGAGAGGAATGTTGCTGGGTATCAACAAGGACAAAAAAAATGGATCATTTGGCTTGTGTTTTGGAAGAGTTGAATGTTGAATTTGTTTAGGTTCTAGATAAAGCAAACTCTGCCCACACGAGAGCATGCAAACTAGTTCTCTTTAGTTATGGAGAGTGGGGTAACGAAATTTGACACGAATCCAACAACACGATTCGAACGCAACACAAAGTTAGCGGGTTTGAGTTAACCTTTATTGTGTTTGTGTCATAATTGTGTTAAAAACGGGGGTATTAAAAACATAAATTTTGGATGAGGTTTGAAATAGATTTCGCTAAGAATTTTTTGTAAATCTATAGACGAGAGCGTTTTATTTTCTCAAATCCGTTTCCAAGTGAATGAGAAATTAGCTCCAAAGTGTAGCGTTTTGATAAACCTAAATGGATATACAAAATGTGAGAAGTGTTTGTCCCACATGGAAAAAATGTTGAAACCAATTGAAATTTAAATAAGCTAAGTTTAGGATTTGGGCTTGGGCTTGAGCCTAATTGTCTAGTCCAGTTATTCTTTTTACTAAATAGAATTTTGGGTTGGGCCTGTTTTTGGGCTGGGCTTATTTAAATGGGTTTCACAAATAAGTGGTTGGTATTTGAATTTAAATTAAAATTAGTTTTTTGAATTTAAATTAAAACCACCTTTTAGTTTTTTTTTTTCAAAAGGGTGCACCTTTTTCTAAACCATTGGTAGCACTTACCCGAAAAGGCACCTTGCTACTTATAAATACCTTCCTTTGGATCATTTGCAAATCACTCCAATTCAAAATCCTTTTCTCTAATTCTGAATTCTCTCATTCCTTTCTCTTTTCTGTAAGTGTTTGAGGGTTTAAACCCTAGTCTTTGGGTTCAAGCCTTAGTCAGTGAGGTCGAGTAAGAGAGTACTACACCGAGCCGGTTCGCCTATTTCTTTGGTTTGCAGTGCTGCTACCGAAGGAAGACAAGTCGTTGTATCGATAGACGCCACTAAGTCCGTTAGAACTATAGTAGAGCAAATCTGTCTTAAAGATATAGAATTAAATTCTAGCCTCGACTTTTAATCAGATTCATTTATTTTATAGTTCTTATTTTATTATATTAAATTACATATTATAAAAAAATTATATATATAGATTATTATTTTAGAATAATAATTATATATATTTAAACATCATATTTTAACATAATATTTAAATAAATAATACTATAGTATATGGTATAGTTAGGCCATACTTTTGGACAACAATCTTAAGCTAGATTCTGCTTATACTATAGTTTAATTATTTAAATATTATTGTTATTTTATTTCTATAAATTTAACTATGGTCTGTATATTTAATATATAACAGACGAATGGCAAATATAAGTACTACTATGCCTAATGTTCCTGTCAGTTACGGGAAGAAGCCCGAAAATTTTAATGGGGCGGAGTTTAAAAAGTGGCAACATAAAATGATATTTTACCTTACAACTCTGAATCTAAGCAAGTACCTAACTGAGACTGCCCCAATGCTAGATGAGGGTGAGACTGACATTACTAAGCTAGGAGCTGTTGATGCATGGAAACATGGAGTCTTCCTATGCAAGAACTACGTCCTCAATGGATTGGACAACACTTTATATAATGTATACAGTCCAATAAATACTGCTAAAGAGCTCTGGGAGTCACTAGACAAGAAGTATAAAATAGAGGATGTTGGCTTGAAGAAGTTCGTGGTCAGACGATTTCTGGACTTCAAAATGATAGACTCCAAGACAATCATGAGCCAAGTGCAGAAGTTCCAGCTAATCCTATATGAGATACATGCTGAAAAGATGACTTTAAGTGAATCCTTTCAAGTAGCTTTAATCATTGAAAAGTTGCCACCTACTTGAAAAGATTTCAAAAGCTACTTGAAGCATAAGCTCAAGGAAATGGGGATCGAAGACTTGATTGTCAGGCTAAGAATTAAAGAAGGTAACTGCACATTTGAAAAGAAAGCCGGGAATTCTTCAATGGTGTCAAAGGAAAATATAGTGGAAGCTGGACAGAAGAATAAGAAGAGGAAGTACTTTGGAGAAGGTCCCAGCCAAGGAAACTACAAGAGGTTCATTGTGAAGTGTTTCATATACGGTAAGCTAGGACACCGAGGTAAAGACTGTCGTAACTGTAAAGCACAACATAACCCCAAGAAAAAGACCACTGAGGTGCACATTGCTAGGAAGATAAGTTGATAACTGATGTGTCAGAGTTAAATCTTTCAACTGTGGTTTTTGAAATCAACCTTGTGAACAACAATAGAGAATGGTGGGTAGACACGAGAGCTACTCGTCATATTTGCTCAGAAAAAAGGATGTTCACTACCTATAAAGCTATAGATAGTGAAGAACAACTCTACATGGGGAACTCTTCTACTGCAAAGGTTGAAGGATAAGGAAAGATCAAGCTATTAATGACCTTAGTAAAAGAACTCACTCTTAATAATGTGCTACATGAACCAGACATCAGGAAGAACTTGGTCTCTAGGTCGTTCCTAAGCAAGAATGGGTTCAAGCTGGTCTTTATATCTGATAAGTTTGTGTTGACTAAGAATGGGGTGTATGTGGGCAAAAGGTATCTAAGTAATGGACTATTCAAGTTCAATGTAATGACTGTTGTACCCAAAGTTATTAATAATAATAATAATAAAGTTAATATTTCTTCTGCTTATATGATTGAGTCATCTGATGTATAGCATGGTAGGTTAAGACATGTTAGTTATGATATTCGTAGATTAATTAACATGAATTCTATACCTAAATTTAGTATTGATTTAAATAAAAAATGCCAAATATGTGTAGAAGCAAAACTGACTAGAACCTCATTTCACTTCATAGAGCGAAGTACTGAACCTCTAACATTAATTCACAATGATATCTGTGACTTTAAATCTGTGCCAACCAGAGGTGGGAAAAATTATTTCATTACTTTTATTGATTATTGCACAAGATACTGTCATGCATACTTGTTAAGAAGCAAAGATGAAGTCTTGGAAATATTTAAACATTACAAAAATGAGGTTAAGAATCAACTTGGCAAAAAGATAAAGGTGTTCAGAAGTGATAGAGGTGGTGAATATAAAGCACTATTCGCTAAAATTTGCTCAGAACATAATATTATTCACTAAATTACCGTTCCTTATTCACCTCAATAGAATGGTGTTGCTGAACGCAAAAACCGTACCTTAAAAGAAATGATAAATGCTTTATTGATAAGTTCTGGTTTAACCCAAAATTTGTGGGGGGAATCTTTACTTTCTGCTAATTATATTCTCAACAAAATACCTTGCAAGAAAACAAATATAACACCTTATGAATTATAGAAAGGTCAAAAACCTTCCTATAAATTCTTAGAAGTGTGGGGGTGTCTAGCTAAGGTTGCGGTTCCTACTCCTAAGAAAGTTAAGATAGGACCAAAAACCTTTGATGGTATTTTCATAGGCTATGCACAAAATATTAGTGCATATCGTTTCCTTGTGCATAAATCAGACATTCCTAACATCGATGTCAATACAATTACTGAGTCAAGGAATACATGTTTCTTTGAGGATATATTTCTTTGTAAAAATCCTCTTAAAAGAAATCATGATATTGCTAATAACAATATATACGAGAATATAGACCAAGAGTCTATAGATGATGAAAATAAGGAAGAACCTAGACATAGTAAAAGAGTTAGAACGTCTAAATCATTTGGTCCTGATTTTCTGACATATATATTGGACAATGAACAACAAAGCTATAAGGAAGCTATGTCTTCTCCTGAAGCTCCTTTATGGAAAGAGCCATAAATAGTGAAATTGAATCCATCATACAAAATCATACTTCGGAGCTGGTGGATCTTTTT